TTTTTATTTTTTTTTTTTTTTTTTTTGAGACAGGGTCTTGCTAAGTTGCCCAGGTTGGCCTCAAACTTTTTAATCCTCCTGCTTCAGCCTCCAAGTAGCTAGGAATACAGACATTGCCACTATCTGTGCTTGGCATTTACAGTTTGTGGCCCTTAGCTATTTGTTGCCACCCATCTTTAGTGCCTTTATCCACTATAGTATGCTCTTTTCTGTCAGAAAACTGACTCTGTCTTGGCTGTACTTATTTCTTCAGCTATCTGTAGCTTAATATTTATCCTATTCTTTCATCTGGATTTTGGGTTTCCCAACATATTTTGCTCCTCAAATTAATATTTTTCAGATCCTCAAAAGAAAGATTCAGAGACCAAGACTTAGCATCACGTGACAGAGACAGGAGTTCAAGAGACAGATCACCTCGTGACCGAGACCGAAAAGATAAGAAGCGGTCCTATGAGAGTGCTAATGGCAGATCAGAAGACAGGAGGAGCTCTGAAGAGCGCGAAGCAGGGGAGATCTAATTAGCTGTGTACATCCCTTCAATCCTTAAGCTTCCTATGGAGTCACATACTATTGTTTAGTTTACAGCTGTTCAGGGTAACAGTGAGCAGTTCTAGACACCAAGATTCAGCCAGGCTAGATGTACAGTATCTAACTTGATCTGAACTGAACCTGTTTTCCTTGATAAAGCCTAAAACTACATCCATAGTTTCTGGTGAATCTGTAATACAGTTCTGAAAGTACGGTTTTATATAATAAGACACTGATCTCTTTATTCTTTCAAGTAGGAGTGATAGTGAATGAATTGTTACATGCCTTGGGAATTTTTGAACATTTGTAAAATGCTGTCTTCCTTTCTACTCCAAACAGCAGCAGCTTTGGGAATTTTTCTTTTTAATTCTTCCTATGACTTTTGTATCCCCTAATACCTGTACTCTCCAACTATAAGAAGGGGGTCAGGGAAGCAATATATCTTCTGTTCCAAGGTTCTATTCCCATTATTAATTACTAGCTTATTACAATTCAGAACATTTATACTGGAATGTGTATGCTAGAGAAATTGAAAAGACTGGGTTTTTTTTTGTTTGATGGTGCCTACTTAGAATTGGAAATTGAACAGCTGTTGCATTACATACTTTTGCTTTTTTATTGAAATTTTAAAATCAGACTTGTCTTGATTTTTCTGTTCCATTGAATTGCTATATGTTCAGGATGTTCTGAGGGGGTGGGGGCAGGGACTCTTTCATAATAAGCACTTGTTTTATTTTGTGTGTGTGGAGTATAAAAACTACATCCTTATTGTAAAAAATAATAATAAAATGAAAGAAACGATCACCACCACCATCAAACTGTAACTTGTCTAGTAAATTGTCACTAGAACTATCTGCTGTGGGTATTTCCTGTATTCTGTTACATGCTTAACAGCGCCTTACTATGCAAGGCACCAAAGGAAGTAAATAGACTTGAAAAGAGTCCAGATGAACTATTGTTCTACCTGGGACTCTTGCTGACTGACTGCTTTCAAGCTAGCTTCAGGGCTGTCTGTAATATCCTCCATAGGGAAGGAGTGGACCTAGGGAAGCATTTGTGGGGTTTCTTTTTTTGGGTGGGGGGTTCACAGTACTGGGGATGGAACTCAGGACCTTGTGCTTGTAAGGCAGGCGTGATGCCACTGAGCTAAATCCCTGGCCTTTTTTTTTTTGTTGTTGTTGTTGTTGTTGTTGTTATTCAATAAGCCTGAATAAAAACAGTATGTAACCAACATAACGAAACTAGCAGTTTCTACTTTAAAGAGCTACAGTGATATCACAGTAATTGGTAGGTATCACTTCTAATTTCTACAAATTCTGAGGACCCAAAAGTATAAAATTAGTGCCTGTAAGTATAATTAACATCTCTCTAGAGCTATTTCTTTGACAAATTTCATGTGACAGAAGAATATAGGCCTCAAAATGTGAAAGAACAGAAAGCCAGTGCTGTTCTAAGTGATTAGGTTATTTCCGTCAGAAGGGACACTGGTGTTCCCAGTTTACCAAATGAGGCCTCATTACCAGGTTTACTGTCATATTCAGCACCACATTCATTTATAGAGTTCTGAGAGACCTGTCTGCATCAGTGGCCTTTTCTTTGTCTATTTTTGGTTGCAGAGAAATTTTTTTGGACCTCTTTTGTTCTTGGTGGTCTATACTGTTGTCCCAAATCCCTATAGCATTTTGGATTTAGTACCTTGTAAGACCAAAAGTTTTAATGACAGTAGTAGGTGCAAGGAAGGACATTTGGGACCTGACCCACTGTAGTTCATGGTGTATCTGGAGTTGTGTTTAAGTCATGTGTTCTCATCGTTTGTACAGTTAGAATCGAGTACTTCCTGTAATAACACATCTGTATGACCAGCTCTTATTGCAGTTGTGACTTTGGGGGATACTGGCCCTGCCCTCAACAGGAGTGATTGATAGCCATCCTGGGACTGTGCACCACAGCAGATCACTTGACCTGGCTCTTTGCACTATTCTTGCTCTGGGGTACTTCTAGTATTTCGATTTTGGGATATGCAGTCTACATTTTAAATAATCTATGAGATGGGACAGCTACTCTGATTTAGAAGAACCCTAACAGCTAGTATCTTTCTCATAGAAATATTTTGTACTTCTTTGATAGCTGGTGGCTGTAGTAAAAAAATAGCTCTAAGTTTCATCACATTTGCAAAAACCTTTGACCTGGTAGGGTAAAAATATGCTATTTTTACCTCCAGCAGAACCCCCTGCAGTTTGCTATAACTCCTCACCAGAGCTGTTTCACTGAGCTGTAGCACCAAGCGAAACTGAGACTAAAGCAGGAAGTGTTACTGTCAGGTAGACTGTGTGTGGTACTGAGGAGCAAACTCAGGGAGTACCAGACCATATCCCCACCCTTTCCACCCTTTATTCCAAGACAGGGCATCAGTAAAGTTGCCCAGGTTGACTTCCAGCATAGCAATCCTTTTGCCTCAGCTTCTTGAGTACCAGGGATTAAAAATAAGTACCACGGGCCGGGGATTTAGCTCAGTGGTTTGGTGGCCTGCCTTGCAAGCGCAAGGACCCGAGTTCAATCCCTGGTACCAAAAAAAAAAAAAAAAAAAAAGTACCACTATACCCAGTTAGTAGCTTGTTTTTAAAAGAATTTTTAAAATCCTTATTAAGCCTAAAACAAAGGCTTTTTTGGGGTGGGGGTGTGTGATTAATTGAGTCTAAGGCCTTTGTGCTGAGTTGTATCACCAGCCTCCCCTCTTTATTTTTTATTTTAAGAGAGGGTCTTGCTAAGTCATTAAGTTGCCTAGGCTGTGCTTATATTTTCAGTCTTCCTGCCTCAGCCTCCTGAGTGCTGATATTAGAGGTGTATGCTACCATGCGTGCCTGGCTTCAAGCTCTTTTGTTCCTCAGAGTTCCACTTTGAGTGTGTTTTGTTTTGTGCTTTTGTTAGTATTGGAGATTGAACCTGGAGTGTTTACACTGAGCTACATCTCCAGTTTTTTGAGACAGTGTCGCTGAATCACTAAGTTCTCCAGGTGAGGCATAAGATAGCTGTCCTCTTGTCTCAGCCTTGCAGAGTGCTGTGGGGTTATAGGTGTGAATCACCATGCCTGGTTTGAGTCTAATATCTTTCAACATTAGCCCACTGAGTATGCATTAGATAGACTCTTAGCATTCAACTTAAGTACTTCTTTCAATGTAATTTTTAGGTAATGGACCATTGATATAGATACTAATTTTTTTCCTTCAAATAAATTCTGATAATTATTAGAATAAATATTTTTTTTAGAGACACTAGGCTGGCCTTGAACTCAACTGCGTAGCTCAGGTTCGCTTCAGACTCAGTGATCCTCCTGCCTCAGTCTTCTGAGACCTGGAATCATAGGCATGCTTACAGGTTTTTAAACTTGAGAACTCTTACATTATTTTATTATGCCTTGGCTTTTGATATTTCCTATGGTACGAGTAAGGTAATATAAAATTGCTCCCTTTCGGTGTGTTTTTCTTTTGTGGGTTCTTGGGACTGGAGAGACCCAACCAGAGTTTTTTTTGTTTTTGGCACAGGCCAACCAGGACCAGGGAGGAGTGTGCTGGGGCCACAGATGGTCAGGGCTTTGGGTGCTCTAGAACCTGCAGGAGATGTTTCTGAGCTGTGCGGGTCACCTGTGTGTTCTCCAGATTCAGCAGACAGCCCAGGGTGTCAGGTTCTGGGGCTGCAGGCATGCCTTGGGGTTGGCCTCGTGATCAGCATGGTAGGATTTAGCTAAAAGCAAGGTACTGAGACTCAAAAAGATGGTGTTCTTAGTCCTGCAAGGCTCCAGACGAGGCTGCGAGGAGGAATCCAAAGGCTGTCACCAGCACCAGAACGTACTCTAGCTCTCCTCAGCTCCCAAATGCAGCGCCCTCCTGTCGTGAGAAGGCGGTCAGCTAACTGTAACCAAAGACCCAGCTCAGCCGGACTTAAAGGGCCAGTGGAGTTAACTCCTATGCATTTTGTCTGGCTCCCTTTCTGAGCATGGTGTTTATGGGACTCATCTGTGTGCTCTATTCCAGAACAGTTCTTTGCTTTTTTTGTATCCAAGTAGAATCCATTATGAAGAGGTACTGCAATTTATCCATGCCCTGTTTTTGCTCATGTTTACTGGCTTTCTTATGTTTTCCTTGGCAAGGTGTCTCTTCATATCTTTACCACGGTCTGCACTCTTAACTTCTACTCTACCCTGAGAATTATCTTTGAGTCTTATCTGTGGAATAGAGAGGAAGATTCCTACAGCTCAGTCTACCTTTCCCTACTGTCCTTTACCAGAAGCACGGCCTTCCCCACCCTAAAGTCAGATTTAGTGCAGTGTGGAAGTTGCCACTCTAATAACATGAGCCTACTTACAATAGCCACAGCCCCTCCTGTGACTGGCAGTTTCCAGTGTGGATTGGCTGTTCTGCTGTGTTGAATCAAGGACAAGTGAGCTGAGAGCTCTCGGTGGCCGTGTGCTTCCACATTAGTAAGAGCAGATAAAGTAGCCACCAGGAGAAAGATTGACAAACATTTGAAGAGAAGTAGGTCATAAATCATTTCCCCTTTGCTTAGGCTTAGAATTGACTTTCTTACCTGGAACCCCAGGGTCCAAACTGACCGCCACCTTACTAGATCATCACAAGGGTTAAATTGGAACACAGCAAAGCTGCCTATAGTAGTAGCTGTTATGCTCCCAGGTGGATGAAGCTTCACAGCTAGAATGCCATGCAGTGTTACCTGATGCCCCCACTCACCTTGGGGTGTCCTTGAGTTCTCAGAGATGCATACACCATAGTCCACACCATACGTGCCCAAGCGAGGAAGCACCATGACTTCTGGTCATAGCTGTATTGGACAGTACACCTGTAGGACCTTGGGAAGTAACAGGTGACATGTTTAGAGGCCACTGTGTAGAACTGACTGGTCCATCCATCTGCAAGGCCTGCTGCGAATATTCTGAAGTTCTTTGTATAAGGACCGTAGTTATGTTGGACTAGAGTCCATTCATACATGACCTCATTTTAACCTCATCATCTGTAAATCCCCTTCTTCACCTCTGGAAGTACTAGGGTACTTGAACCCCAGGGTCTTTGCACCAGCCTCTTTTTTTGAGATGTCTTGCTAAGTTAACTGCCCAGATTGGATTTGAATTCGTGATCCTCCTGCCTCAACTTCCCAGAGTGGTGGGATTACAGGTATGCATCCCAACACTGAGTTCCTATTTCTCAGGCACATTATAAGTAGTGCTCGGTTAGAACTCCAGCATTTTGGGAAGAAACCTAATTCAGTCCCTAAGAGCAGGCTCTCTTGTAGTGCTGCTATCTTTTTGGTGGGAGTGTGGGTACCGGAGCTCAAACTCGGGACCTTGTGCTTGCGAGGCAGGTGGCAGAATCACTGAGCTAAATCCCTGGCCACTGCTATCTTTATTTTTAAGACTTTTTATCTAGCAGTCTGTGTGCTTCTCAGAACAGCAGCTGTGCACTTTATTTCTAAGGATAGTGAGAGCTTTAGATTTATCTGTTGATGAGGGCTGTCCCTTAGCTGCTGCTTTAAACTGGTGCCAGTTGGTTGGACTGGCCAAAGCATACAGTAGAAGACGATTGGTTTAGAAATGCCAGGAGACCTCAGCCTTCTCTCACTCCCAGACCCACCCACTAGTGGCAAGGCAGGCAGGAATAGCAGCTCAGACTTTAGCATGGGTGAAACCAGGAGACATTGGGAATATTTTGTCACAGAAGTGTGAGGAAAGGACAGAAACACCAAATGAGTGTGGGAAGGTGGCTGGAGGTCCCAGAGGAAGCCAGGGAGCCATCAGTGTCTGCCCCAGGGAGCAAAGCATGCTCAGATTGCAGGTGGAAATGGGTAGGACCCAGAGGAAAAGTCACAGATGAGCCTTGCTTGCAGGATGCCTCTTGTTGTGGAGGTTGGGCAGGCAGAGAACAGCAGTACAGCGTGACCTGCGTGGGCTTGGGAAGGCCAAGTCTCACTCCCACACTTGTCTGTTCTAATGACCTGCTGCCTACAACATGGTCTGGGCCCCTCCCTTTTTGGAGGGCAGATACTGGGTTTGAACCCAGGGCCACGTGCATGCTAAGCAGGTACCCTACCACTAGCTGTTACATCCCCAACACTTTT